CGGGGTCCCGAGCTCTTGTTTGGTTGCTTGTAGGTAGGGATGAACAGCTGGTCATTTTTTTTGGCTTCTAATTAAAGATCTTCTTTTTACTGTTTAATGTCTTGTTGATTTGTTGTTCTCTTGGTTTATGTTTTAAGATTTTTGATAGGTATTATTTTGTTGTATATATTTTATGTGTATTTTTATGTTTGAAATTTCTTAGGTTCTTTTCTGGGCTTTTTTGTAGGCCGTGCCGAATAGTATTTAAGTTTTGGTTTTTATTTCGGTATTATCTTTTTACGGTTTGATGTCTTATAGGTCTTTGTTTGGTGATTTGTCTTTTTTTGTTGTTTGATAAATTTGTTGTCTTTTTTGATTTGCGTTAGTTATTTGTTTGATGGATTGTCGTTTTTTGGTGTTGGATATACTTGTTGTCTATTTTTATGTGTAGGTACTGTAGAATATATTTTGTGTTGTTGTTTTTAAGTAGTGTTGAACAGCTGTTCATTACCATTGGCTATGAATTAGGGAATTTCTTTCACTGTTTGATGTAGGTCTCATTTTTGTTCTTCGGCATTTATATTTTTTGTTGATTTGTTTTGGTATTTGTTATCCCCCAGGGGAACACGTTCTTACGTGTTTACGGATCTTAGCGAACCCGGGGTCCTGAGCTCTCGTTAGGTTGTCTGTAGTTAGGTATGATCAGCTATTCAACACTATTTGCTTCGAGTTAGGGAACTGTTTTAATTATTTGATGTAGGTCTGTTTTTTGTTTTTTGTCTGTTTTATTTAATGAATTTTGATAGGTATTTGTTATCCCCCAGGGGAACACGTTCTTACGTGTTTACGGGTCTTAGCGAACCCGGGGTCCCGAGCTCTTGTTTGGTTGTCTGTAACTAGGTATGTTCAGCTGTTCAACACTATTTGCTTCGAGTTAGGGAACTGTTTTAATTATTTGATGTAGGTCTGCTTTTTGTTTTTTGTCTGTTTTGTTTAATACATTTTGATAGGTATTTGTATTTGGATTGCCTTTCATATCGTCTGATTTATTATATTTGATATTGGTCAGTTTTTAGTTTTTGTGTGTGATTTGCGTAAGGTATATGTTTAATAGATTGCCTTTTTTATGGTGTTACATATATTTGTTGTGAATTTTTATGAGAGGTAATTTTTGTTTCTTTAATTTCTTTGTTTCTTATATTGTATTGAACAGTATTTAATTTTTGCTACTAAATAAAGATACCTATGATTTAAATCGTTTGTTATAAATTTGTTTTGTTCTTCAGGGGTTTTTTTTTTTTTAATTGTTTTAGATATTTATTTGATGGATTCTTCTACATATGGTACTATATTTGTCTATTTCCATGAAAGGTATTTTTTAGATTTTAACAATTGATTTTTAGGTGTAATCAATTATAAAAATTTTTATTTTTATTTACAGAACTTGGAATTTTTTTTTTTTGTTTCAATTTAAATCAAGAATTCTTTAGGAGCCAAGTAACCATCAATTTAAATTTACAAATCTAAATTTGTTTCATAATATTAAAATTTTAATATATTTGCTTTTATGTTTCTTTTTCAGAACTTGGATTTTTTTTTGGACCGACCCAAATCAATTTTCCTCCGGGAGCCGGGGATCCCCTTTTCATTTCTACCTCTGAAATCTACACTTTGAATATTTTATGGTAAAAAAATCAAATTCATTTAATTTACATAAAATATCCTGAAACATTTAAATCATTTGATTAAAATTAACTAATAATAATTAACTTCTAATATATTGTGCTAATAAATGTAAAATATTATTCAATTTAAATTAATAAACCTCTTTTTGTTTCAATATATTCAAATTATAATACATTTATTTTTATGTTTCTTTTTCAGAACTTGGATTTTTTTTTGGACCGACCCAAATCAATTTTCCTCCGGGAGCCGGGGATCCCCTTTTCATTTCTACCTCTGAAATCTACACTTTGAATATTTTATGGTAAAAAAATCAAATTCATCTAATATACATATAATATCTTAATAAATCTGATATGTTTCTTTCAGAACTTGGATTTTCCTTTGTTTCAACCTAAACAGAGTGTCCTTCTTCGAGAGCCGGGTAACCACTTGTAATAATATTTGTTGTATTTTATGCATTAAATGATTTATTGGAATAAAAATCAAATTCATTTAATTTACAT